GCAAACCGGCCTCTCCAAGCGGGCAGCGCATGACTGTGCTGTTTTCCATCCCAAAGAGTGAGGAAAGCATCATTTTGGGGGGGAAGGGATAGTAAAGCAAGCACGTTTTCACTGGCAACAAACCTGCTTCCAGCAAGTCTGTGCCTGGCAGCCCTGGGGGACTAAAAATACCCAGCAAAGGGCTAGAGCTGCACAGTGTCTGTTTTCTCAGCTCACCAGCTGTCTCCTCGCATCCTCACTCCTCTACCCAATGATTATCCCATCAGTTAAGGCTCTCTAAACCCAGGCAGTAGCATTTACGTAGTTTTACCAGATACAGTTGAAAGGTTGAGATTCACAGGCAGTGTTTTGCTGCTAATTGCAAGCAAGCTCAGACCCCTCCAACATCCAGCACCGAAGGGCTGCTTTTGGTCTGCCCTAGCTGCTGCTAAAGTCACCAGCAAAGTGTGTGATGCATTTGGGCCGTCATCCACACTGACGTCCCCAAGGTCCTTAAAGCGATCGGTTGGGCATGCAGCTCTGCCTATGAAACGCTGAGCTTCGCTATGCGGGGATGGCGTCTTGTGTATGCAACCACTAGCTGGGCTCCTGGGGGAAGAGGTGCGTGGGAATGGGTGATTTTCTGTTGCTTTTGGAGAATAGAGAAAATCCCAAGGTTTGAGGTGGTACAGAAATGAGGGGATGCTCGTGTCGAGGGGAGCTGACCCTAGGCAGGAGCGTCCTGCACATGTGTCCCTGCACACATGCACATCCCTACACCCGTGCACATCCCTACGCGTGTGCACGTCCCTGCATGCATGGATGTTGCTGCATGTGTGCATGTCCCTGCATGTGCACACAGCCATGCACACTCACCCATGCCTGTTGCTCACCAAACACACTTCCCGCTCCAAAGGGCTTGAAGACAGCAGGTATCAAACCCAGCCTGCTCCTGGCTTCCTCACTTGGCATCACAAATAAAACCTTTGCAACCAACCTGACCCGGTCCTTCTCATTAGCTGGGATACTCCTGGGGCTTGTGGTTTTGCTGTTGCTCTGGTTTTGCAGTGAAAGCTGCTGTGGTTGAATCCAGAAATAATTGCTCCCGAGTCCGTGGGGTGGGAGAGTTGCCCAGTGGTTGTTGCCAGGATGGCTCTGTGACGGGGATGCTAGAGGCAGTTCAGTGTCTGTCCGTAGCGGTTATGGATGTGGACAGTGCCTCTGCTGTGCAGGGAATGTTTTCCACCCTTGGGGTCTGCCGTGGATTCAGCCAGGAGATGGGCATATGTGGCTGAATTGTTTCCAGAGCCATGCTCAGAGGTGGCAGAGCATCAGCCTGGATTTACCTGCCAGGGACCCGCTGGCAGAGGGACGCTCACAGTGCAACAGTGTCATGGGGCGTGCAAAGAGCCCTGAAAGCCCTGGGCTGGCTGCCCACCACCTCCCTGGGGGCTTCAGGCCAGGACGAGGGGCGCTTTGGCTGCTGTTTGTGGTGGTAGGAAGTCTCATCCCTGCTTGTAGTACTTCTCCAGCTGCAGAGGATTGTAGCAGCTCTCCTTGCCTTATGCCACAGTGCATATCCTCCATACTACCCACGCCTGGTGGCCCAGGATGCAAGGGGAGAACATGTCCATCCCCCAAGCCCTGGTCATGGAGGAGCTTTGGGTTACTAGGAGACAAGCGTTGCCTGTCATGGGAGGACAGTTTCGTGCTGTATCACACCTTTGCTGAGCGTGCTCAGGAGGGCAGAGCACAGATGCTTCTGGGGACTGGTAAGATGGGATGAGTCTGTCCTGGACCAGCATCGGTGCCATGCAAGGTCCCCATGATCCTGTTATCACCCTCCCCAGGCTGAGGCGTCCAGGCTGTGCTTATCATCCCCAGCCTCCCTTCCCAAGCATGGCACATTTAACGGTATATAACTGTGTACAGCAGCAGGCTGCAGTGAAGCAAAGTATCACGTGGGCTTACCCAACCCCCCCCCCAACCACCCATGCATGGGCTCAAGCGTGGGGGAAGCAAAAAGAAAATTAGCCCTTGGGTGATTCATTGAGCACTATGCCTCCTGAACCGTGTGGGTCCAGCCCCGTAGGTTACCTCCACAGGGTGTGGGGAGCTGCCCCAGCCCCCCCGGGACTGGCGTCTGCAGCGTCTCCTCGTGGTAAGTGAGTCTCTCCTTTGCAGCTGGGATAAATTTCCATCCCATCATCACTCCCATCAGATTTATGTCTTGGCCATTCCCTGCAGCATTTCCCCTCCCTGAGTGCCCACAGGGCTCTTCCCTCTGTGCCTTGATTGATGTCTCTTAATTCAGCTGCTAATTCATTCAATTCCCCACCAGCAGCCAGGGTGGGGACGTGGCCACGCAGCTGATTTTGCCATTCACGTCATGCTTGTGGGGCTGTTTGGCTTTCCATGGTGTGGACATGCTTTCTCCATGCTCATCCCACAAGCAGCAAGGCACAGCAGCAAGATGGGGCGTGAAAGTCGCCTCATTTGGGTTTTGCACCCAAATTAATAGGGCTTAGCACTGGAGTAAGGCTGATTTCTGCTCTTCTTGGCCCCAAGTCTCCCTAAAGCCTGGGTCATCTGCCCTCCAGGGGGGCTGGCAGTGTGGCCGTGCTTGTGTGTGGGTACCGCTGGGGCTGCTAATTAGAGGAAGGAGGACTGGAAAACATTTCACCTGCTTAATTATGGGGATGGCACTCATGTCTGACTCAATGCAAGGAGAGCAAGGGGCTGGAGTGGTCCCTCGCTCTGTGCCTTTTCCTCCACCAGCCTCCTTTTTGCAGGGATGCTGCGGCGACGGGATATCAGTCACAGTTATCCCTGTTGTCCATGTCCCAACAGCCAGGAAAGAGCATGAACAAGCCTCAAAGGTTCAGGACAGCGTTACGTGCCCGTAACAGGTTTTATCCCACTTGAGGAACGCAATTTAAATCTGTAAAGGGGGAGGAGGTGGGACAGCCACCTGCGGGACGCCTTGTCCCATGTCCCCGGCACATAGGAGCCGGCTTTCAGCATAACGCACTGGATGCACATTGAGGGGCTGGTGCTTTTGCCAGAGCTTCTCTATTTTTAGAGGGTTTTTTGTGTCAAACTTCCCATCAGCTGATGAGCCAATGTCATCCCAAGAACAGAGCTACGGTTCCCCCAGCCCCGGCAGCGTGTGTCTGCGCGTCTGGGTGCGCACAAAAGCATCTTCTTACGCACGCCGCCTTTGAACGGGGGAGAAGTGCCCCACTGTGCCGCTGAGCTGTTTGAGACATGAGCTTTTATTCCAGTTCAAAGGGCCAGAACGGGCTGATCTGGCCCATGACTGCGTCCAGGTCCTTTTTGTCTGTGTGCGTATGTTGGTTTGAAAGGGGGGTGATATAAGGATATTCAGAGCTAGCCTCAAGCATTATGTCTGTTGTAAAGATTTAAAAACTTGCTAAGTTAAGGGGGACTGTCCCATAACCAGCGTTAGACCTGTGGCCCTCGCACTGAGCTTACCCCCTTGCAGACAAAGCCTGGCAAAGATGGCAATATGGGGTGGGCAGGTCCCCAGGGCAGCTGGGGTGACAGTGACACACTGACCCTTGCTGCTGGGGACCCTCATCCGGCTGTAGTGGGCTTGAAGGTCACCCAAAGGTCTGTGTCACCAAAAATCCCTGTCTGGCATCTTGCTTGCAGCTGGAATGGGGGATATCCCAGACTCTCGTCCTGGTGGTTTTGGGCTGCGGAAATGGAGGTGAGGCTGCAAGTACCAGCATTGCCCCTGGGGTCAAGTCCCTGGATCCACCCATGCTTTAATCCAGCCTAAATCCAGGCTGCTGCCCAAATTGGCAGCTCTGCCTCTGCCCTCCAGCTTCTCATCCCTGGCACTGGCTGGGGAGCGGTGCTTGTGCTTGGGCAGTAATTCGGGGATGCTGCTGCCTCCATCCCCCGGGTAGAGGTTTGACTGATGGAGGATGCGCTGAAGTTCAGTTAACACTGAATGGCCGGTCCCACCACACCTGTCCCCGTTGGTGCCACAGGGAGAGGAGGGGTGAACATTAATCTGATCATTCAACTCATTTGTTGCTGTGACTTCATGCCAGGTTTGGGCCAAACTCAGGTTTGAGGCTGACTTTCTGCAAACAGAGAGTTTCTGCGGCTGGAGGACACTTGGGCCATGGGGTCCCTCGGCAGCCAGGTGCTCTGCAGAGGGGATGGGATCTTGGCCCAGGATATGTGAATGAAAAAGACTATTGCAGGATTTTGGGTTCTGGGGATGCTGTTCCCTGCAGCTTGGTACCATACTGGATGCAGTATAGTGACCACCTGGGTGCAGGGTGGTACAACCTGACACAGCCCATTCCTGTGGGTCCTGAGCCCTCCAGGGTTTAATGGGGGGCAAAGGGTGCTGGGCAGGTGCTCTGGGAATTCTGGGGGCAGCAGGAGGGATCTGATCTCTGTCCTCTCTCCTGTAGGTCACCGCTGTGTGTTTGAAGACCTGTGATGCCAAACAGAGACACGTTCCTGCACCAGCAGTGACCATCACATCCAGCCTTGAGGAGAACAGTCCACCATCACCGGATACCTCCTCAGCATGCCCAGGCAGCTCAAATATCTCCCGGACCCTCCCAGTGCTACTGCCAGCTTGGGCTCCCCATTAGGATGAGTCCTCAAGGGTCGCTTTGTCCCCCTCTGAACTCCCCCATGGCTCACTGATGCTGCAGCCCCTCCAACAGGCATCAGAGAGGTGACACAAGGGACCCTGGCAGTGACAAGCAGCCAGATTTAAGACTGCGAGGGCCTTGTCGGTGCCAAGGACGTCCCTACATCCCGGCCGGAGTGATGCTAGCTGCTGCTTAGCACCCAAGAATAAGGGATGGGGGATACTCCCCACCTTCACTACCCCATTGCCCCCTCCTGTGCTGGCTCCCTTGACCCACGGGAGCCCATAGTGATGTGATTGGGGCCCCACGACTCAACAGCACCCACTGCCCACCCCACTGGGCACCTTCAGGACCTTCGCCCACCTGTCGTACCCCGCCATGATGTGCGAGGTGATGCCCACCATCAGCGAGGGGGACCCTCTGGGTCCCCCGCAGGGCTCCGAGGCTGATGCCGACTTCGAGCAGCTGATGGTGAACATGCTGGATGAGAGGGACAAGCTGCTGGACACCCTGCGGGAGACCCGCGAGACGCTCTCTGTCACCCAGAGCCGCTTGCAGGAGACCCTACGGGAGCGTGACCAGCTCCAGAGGCAACTCAACTCGGCCCTCCCACAGGTAAGGATCTGACCTTGGGTTGAGCAGGAGCCTTCATTGAGGCATATGAGGGCGATCAATTTTTAGCCCCTGCCTTTAGGAAGGCTGGCTTGGTGTGATAGTGGTGATGCTGCCAGGTGTGTGGCACCTCATGCCAATAGTAAAACCCATAGGTTCTCCCAGGCCAAGCCACAACCAGCTGGAACATCTCCCCTTCTCCTCTGTACCCCTTGTTGGTCTGTGAGTCCATGTGGGGAGGTGTGGGACTGTAATCCCCCCTCTTGCACAGGGTAATGGGTATGAAGAAGGGGCAAAACCTTCCTGAGGACACCCCAGGGTGACGGGCAGGCAGACACAGAGCCTGTGCTTGCCCATTGCACCGAAGAGTGCTTAGGGAGCAGGCAACACATTTCGGGTAGCAGATCTGGCTTGCTGCCTCCAGCCAGCTCCTTGGGATGCCTTCTGGCACTTACAGAGTCCCCGAATGGAGACATTAACCACATTCCTTCCCCGCTGCTGGAGGGAAGCCCCTGCTCCCTGCCCCTTCCCTTGCCAGAAGGGATCCTTTCCATCAGCCCCATCGCCCGGTGGGGTGATGGAACTTTCTTTGTCTCGAGCTTGGTCCTGAGAGGGAATGCTGGAGGCAGAGCCGGGTGCAGTGTGTGGATCGGGACGTTGCAATGGGCTCATTTGTTCCCTGAGCCAGACTAGCCGGGCAGCGGGCAGGGAGGCTGCCAGAGGTCTGTGCTGAGCAAGCAGGCCAGGGCATGGGGAAATGGGGGCTTGCCCTGGGTCTGCTGGGGTTTCTGGCTCTACCAAGAGCCTGGTGTTGCTCTGCTCCCGGCTCCTCCACCTGCAGGACCCACTCCAGGTACTCCAGAGACCTGGACTTGAGCTCGGCCTCCACAAACAAAGATGCTCAGGTCAGAAGAGGATGGGATGGATCAGCGTTGCAGGGCTGTGCAGGGTGGAAACGGGCCACCCACCTTCCCTGTGGGGACTTGTGGGGCAGCATGCAGTGTCCCAGGGCCCAGACTTGGGGGAAGCAGAAAACCTGGGGGACTTTTGCACCACTCCGTTGTGGTTGCGATGTGGGGAGAGCCAGCGAGGAGCCCAGCAGCCGGAGGAAGCAGGAGGCTTTGAACACTTATGTCCATGTCAACTTGTGCCAGTGCTGAGACCTTAGATCCTTAGTTTGGGGCACCCCAGGGAGATGGGAAATAACCAATGGATCAAAACTGGTGGCACAAGCCAGGACAGCGCTTGGGCCGGTGGCCGGCAA